AAGTTTTACCCTTTATTAATCATTTCTTGGCACTTTTGTCAGTGAGATTTGTATGGTGGCCCTGAGAGGTCAAACGCACTGTAATTGAAGAAAACACCAGCAAATGAAAAAATGCTGCAAAAAGGCACAAAACCCAACGGAATCTCTATAAAACACAAGGGAAAATGCCACAAAAGCTAAAAAAAACAGACAAACAAACAACAAAAAACAGTGAAACAAAACAGACATGTTTTTTGGGAAACAGTTGTGGAAGTGACCAGCTTTGTAAATAGCTAATAGCAGAAATGTAACTACAGTACTATGTGACTCATGCAATTAAAGCACACATTACTTTGCTCCCTCACATCACTGATAAACCGCTGCTTCTTTGAAGTGTGACGATGCAATCCTTCATGTTCTGTTTTCTGTATTTTGTGTGCGTTTGTAGTAGAGATGGACTGATCCGATATTACGTATCGGTATCGGTCCTATACTGACCTAAATTACTGGATCGGATATCGGAGAGAAATAAAAAATGTAATCCGATCCGAAGTATCACAAAATCAGAGAAGTATCCCAGAGAAGTAAAGCAAGTGTGTAAGTTCATCCCTGAATGTTTGCATAGTGTTTCCATGTTAAGCTTAACAACTGATTCATTGAGCCACAGCTGGACTGGCCATCTGAGTTCCATATTGAGGCGAAAAGGAAGCGATTTGTCTGACTTCAGTTAGAATTAAAAAATAGACACAAAGCTGGAGTTATTCTGTCTTTGCTGCGCAGTTGCATCTACTTCACTCATTCTCTCCCCTTCCTCTCCTGTTATGACTTCAAACATGAAACTGATCACTGATCAATGATCAGCTGATCGGCTTTTCTGCCGCAAGTCCCATCTCTCGTCTTTGTTTTTGGCCCACTTTGCGCTAGCAAGAGGAGACCAGCGGATAAACAACAGCAGCACGTTTAAGCGTGATAAGCTGTTGTTAGAATTTATTTAATATTACTTTCTAGTATCAGCTGATGTTTGCTGGAGCCACAGCCGTAAAAGCTGCTGGTCATGGTATCCGTTTGGATATGTGGTGAGAGGGAAACATGAAGATGAAACCAGGAGATGTCCTTACTGAATCATCAGAGCTGAACTGGTGATAGAGAAACAGGTTTACCTTTTAGGTGACATGAATGAGTTGAAGGGAAGTTATGAACTATTTCTGAGAGACAAATAACACCAGGATCCTTTTTCTACGTAGCTGAGGGCTGGTAACTGTGCAGGGGCGGGTATAGCAAAGTTTTGTCGGGGGCCAGGTTGGGCATTAACAGGGAAAGGGGGGCACAAAGAAATATTTTTCTTTGTTATGTCATTTAAAAACTTTGAATAAATAATTATCTGAATCTTACAAAAAAAGTGGTCATCTAATTAAATGTATTCAATTCAATTCAATTTTATCTATAGTGTAAATGTATAGAATCCATTATTGTATATAGTAACTAATAAGTCTAATATACACTCTAGTAAGCTATAGTACTTTTTCCTTTGGGAAGGTACCATCTGTGCAGTCTGTAATTCTGCTGAAGAAAGATATTGAATCTATTTAATTACTGTAGAAAAATAATTGATTTCTGTGTATTTGTTTTACACTTGCATTAAATTAAAGTTGATTACATCGATTAAGGGCGGGGGGTGGTTCCCTAATATTTTTGCTGGGAGTTGGCAACCCTATTAGTTAGGTAGGTAAGTACTCTTTAAAATACCAGAACAGGATGGTGTAGGCTTAAATTTATTAGATTGATCAGTGTTGCTGAACTATAAAATGTTTTGGGTGGAGTGTATTTTGTGCATATAGGTATAACAGAATAGCTTCAGTCTCTTGTTTTTTAAAACTTGAGAATGAACTTATACAAAATGCAGCAAGATATTTATAAAAAACTGTTTTATTGATTACAAAATACGCTACATCGGATTCATACCGGTATCGGCAGATATCCAAATTTATGATATTGGAATCGGTATCGGACATTTAAAAAGTGGTATCGTGCCATCTCTAGTTTATAGGGCTTTTCCTTTTTGCTGGTGTCTGCAGTCCTCTATCCAAACCTACCTGCTCCTGTGTGAAAAAGTAATTGGCCCTGCTGTTAAATCACGAGTTAACTGTGATTGATAACATTTTTTGGATAGCACTAGCCTCACCCGGGCCTGATTACTGTCAGACCTGTTGAATCAGGAAGTGACTTAATTAGAATCTGTCTGAAAAAATGAAATATGCTAAAGGATCTTAAAAATCCACACATCATGCTACAATTTAAAGGAACAAGAATAGATGAGAAGCAGAGTCATTGATATCTATTAGTTGGGCAAGGGTTATAAAGCCATTTCTAATGCCGTGGGACTCCAGCAAACCACAATGAGAGCCATTATCCAAAAATAGAGAAAATTTTCAACAGTGGTGAACCTTGGCAGGAGTGGCAGGGCTACCAAAATTACTCCAAAAGTGCAATGACAACTCAACCTGGAGGTCACAAAAGAACTGAAAACTGCACGCCTCACTTCCCTTACTTAAGGTAAGCGTTCATGAGTCAACAATAGGAAAGAGTCTGGGTAAAAAGGGTTTCTATGGGAGAGGTCCAAGGAGAAAACCACTGCTGACTAAAAGGAACACAAAGGTTCATATCACATTTCTCAATTTTTTTTTGCAAGACTTTTGAGAAAGTATTCGGTGGACTGATGAGACATAAGCTGAACTTTTTGGAAGGGTTGTCTCCTGTTACATATTTTGTAAAAATAATACAGCATTTCATGAAAAGAACATCATACCAGCAGTCAGACATGGTGGTGGTAGTGTGATGATCTGGGGCCATGAATTCTGCTCTCTACCACAAAATCCTGAAGGAGAATGTCCGCCCATCATCGATTTGTGCCATGATGCTGATGCACACTGAGGTTATGCAGCAGGACTAGTCAAAGTCTGGACTTAAATCCAATTGAGATGCTTTAATGGGATGTTCATGGTAAAACAAAAAACAAACAAAAAAAAACCTCTAGTGTGACAGAATTTAAACAACTCTGCATGGAAGAGTAGGCCAGAATCCCTCCACATTCCTCCACAGTCATGTGAAAGAGTCATTGCCACTTATCACAAATGCTTGATTGCAGTTCCTGCTGCCAAGGGTGCCACAACCAGTTATGACGATCCCTTCATTCTACAGCTAGAGGTGGATCTTTCTCTACCACGTGGCTTCTCATTGGATAACACTAAAAGACTGAGAAGTCCAGCAACCTCAGATTAGCCACAGATGAGTCAAGTCAGATGAACCAGCTGTAGAGATAAAGCCCTGTGATGGAACAGGCTGTTACAGAGGCCCACAAACACTTGAATCAGCAGATGATTAGTCAACCTTAACTCCAGCCAGAGAAAACTGTAATTTATTTCATAGTAATACCATTTTCATTGGTTCTGCAAAATAAACAGTATTTTTCAGATTGTTTATGTCTCAGTAGTATGCAAATAGCAACTTGTCTGTGTTTTTGATGTGTAGTTTGGATTGACTTTATACACACCAATTTACTTACACATTTGCTGGGCTTCACATTAGTTTTGACTCTTTCGGGGTATCAAGTTCTAAAAAATGTAGAAAAATGCAGACAGCTTACAAAAAAGATATCAAGTTGTTAAATCCTCCTTATCCAACTCCACTTGGCTTGCTCCTCACATAAGTCATTATTTTATGCATGTTAATTATAAATGCTATATAAGATTAGATTATATTAGAGTAGATTGTTGTATTATATATATATATATTAGATATAGATTTCAGTAATTCTTTAAACTGACTTTCTATGAAGGGAGAACAAGAGAGGAAGCCTTCTCAAAACACCAGCATGCTGAGAACAGAAAGGTGCTTATCAATGAAAATGTGATAGGGGATAGCATTGCAATGACAGTGTGTTGAGGCTAAGCCCCATCCTCCTGTAGTTGTGCAGAAATAACTATAATGTCTCAGTATTGCATTTCCTTTATGCAAGCACTGTAATGTTAGCTGTTATCGACTGTCAGACCTGGGATGAGAGAGAGAAGGAGCTCATACGAATGAGACAGCAACACCAAGGTTCAAAGTTAATTTGATGTGTTTTTCTTTTATTTGCAGACTTATTCAAAGTTTAGACTGAATGAAAAAGGAATTAAATCATTATTGAGATATTCTGAAACACGTTCAAGGTTTTTAAGTCCTGAGGAATATGTCAGGTAATGATAACTTATATAATTACCACTAACCTAAATGCTATAGAGTCACAAAAATGTTGTAATTTGTACATGCTTCTGGAAGTAATGCATGAAATGTACTTTTTGATAATAGGGGTTGTATGATGGAATTTATTGCAATTCCAGCTTAATGCATTTAACATTTACTATTTAAATATAGTTATAGGTTAGAATTGTGTTGTCCTAGGTATTTTCGTTGCTTTTATATTCAGTGGCTAAAATACTTGGAATATGTTTGTGGTTGAGAAGTCCTGCCAAGAGAATGGTTGGGCATTTACAGGGAGAGTTGCAGAGTAATTATAGAGTGGGCTCAGTCTATGTAGAGAGAGACATACCATTGGGAGAGAAGTAACTACTGAAAAAAGTGTCTGCAGGATTGGTAGACACTCCTCTCTCCCTCCTCCCCTTGTGGGACAGGCTCAGAGAGATTAGAGTCAGAAACATTTTGAAGTGAAGGAAGGCTTGAGACTCAGAGAAATGGTCACTGATCAACACAATAAGGTAAGGAAAGAAAAGGGAAGAGTATATAGCCTAAAGCCTTCAAGATTTTACTGTGTATTCATGATGATTCATGATGATTAAATGTTATTTAAAACTTAAATTTACAACAACTTCTTATTTTCTGTAAGATTTATTTATTGTATTTTTTAAAAAGATTTTCCACCTTTCTGCATAATGTTTGGTTTGGATTTTTGCTGTTTTATTTTTATTCTTTTGCTTCTCTGACTACTCTTTTCAGGGAGGAAGATTAAAGTACAGCTGTCCAACTATTTAACAGGCCAAAGCACTGGTTCCCTAACCACCTTGAAATTGATTACAGTTATCAGTCTGAAGTGGACTGCATCCAGCGTGTGGACAGTTTCTGAGACACCGCCACCATTAAGCGACTAAGCCTAAAAAGGAGGCCCAGGGTGGCCGGCAGTAATGTGGACAAAACGCAGAGTGGCATTTCATCTAGTCAGTGGTATTCTGCAGAGTCCTTGTCATCATCTAGTGGTGATGATTCAAAACTACTGGGCATGTCCTCTGCAGCTCGAGGTAGACCACCTCTTCCTCCACCACATGGTTCCTTGTTGGATAATAATAAAAGAAATGAAAGTCTGGGAACCTCTCAGATACTAACTGAGCCAAAGCCTCAGCCAGCTGCACGATCTCTCTTCCAAAGTCAAAGCCCTGTGATGGAGAGGGCCTTTCTGGAGACCCACAAACCCTTGAATCAGGAGGTGACAAGACAGTCTCCACCCCAGCCCTATCCCCGTCGACGACTGGCCAGCTTCGGAGGTATGAGCTCCCCTGGGTCACTCTCACCTTTCACTGGCCTGGGTGCATATAATCAGAACAATAATGGCAATAAGCCTACTGGTACTGGACCCGAGGTCCACCTCGGCTCATCCCTGGGCAGTAGAGGCAGCACAGGCTGTCTGAGAGTAAGCCCACAGAGCTCAGGTAGAACAACTCCAGTTACCAGTCTTGGCCCCATGCACCTGCAACATGTCCGTGACCAAATGGTGGTTGCGCTACAAAGACTGAAAGAGTTAGAGGAGCAAGTGAAAATCATCCCAATCCTCCAGGTAAAGATCTCAGTCCTTCAGGAGGAAAAGAGGCAACTAAGCTGTCAGCTCAAGGACTTGATTGAGAGAGAGAACGTCAATGATGTAACCTGGAACAGCCCGCATAGCATTGAAGGGTCTGAAATTGAGATCAACAGAAATACCAAAAAAGATCTTGAAGTTAAAAGTAGCTGCACAGATCTGAAGGAGGTTGGGCAATTGACCAAAGACATGCAAGAACTGGAAAGGTCTATCAAAGTGGGACAGTTGGGAACATTGCATGAAAAATGTAACCCTCTTCATGACAAAACATTTAAGTCAGTCGCTGTGGGAACTGACAACAATATGGATGTCATCTCGTCTAAGCCACCAAAAGAAAACAAATATGCATACATTGAGCAGGTAGAGATGAGGTCCATTGCAACAGAAGTATCTGAAGTCAGTCTGGGAATTTACACAGAACAGGAGGCAGAGCTTGATGCCCAAGAATTAATAAACAGTGCCTTAAAGGAGAAAATTTGTCAATTAGAAATAGAGTTGAAAGAATCAGCTCTGGAGACAGAGTTGATTCGTCTGAAACTGGAACTTCAGGCTGCAGGAGCCAGGAACCGGGTTGACAAGGCCTGCTGTGCCAGACCGTCCACTGTAAGCATAGGCTCAGATGCAAGGCCACACACCAAAAGCCAGGGAGTGGGTAATCACACAGAGCTCAGAGATGCTTCCACAGGCGAGGAAAAGAAGGTAAAAACTGTAGGAGTATCCTGTGCACCTATGATGAGGAGTATTTGCACAGGACTGGATGTACCCATGAGCCTCTGGGAGGTCAGGGAGCGAGTGGAGACCAGCGACAAGGCTGTGGAAATGCACGTTTTTACAAACACACAAGGAGTTGGGACAGAGATAAGGGTATGTGATGCAGAAAGCAACACAGAGGCACCACTGGCAAAACTGAGGTCCAAGAAAGAGTATTGTTCAGTGGCTTGTGGGGATTGTTCTGTCGATGTGACCATTTGCGAGGCAAAGGAAGCAGTTTCACAGTGTATGACTACAGATCGAGTCAGAGGAGTTGAGCTTGGAATCATGGTATCACCCCAAACAGCATCGCAGCGTACCAACACTGTATGTAGTTCAGTGTCTCGCTTTACCAACACCAAGCACGCCTTCAGCACTGACTCCAGCACGAATACGCTCCTCAGCACCCAAGACAAGCACACCAACACTACTCACACTTCAACTAGGACAGTATCTGTAGGCAATAGGGTCCGAGACGTCAGATGCACCACAGAGACCCGAACAATCGGTGTAGGAACTGCAAATGCAGTAGAAAGTATTTCAAAGCAAACACCAGAAGCGGTCACCAGAGTAACTCGAGACACTGGAGTTGGATTCACAGACATTAATGAGAATTTCCTAGTTGGACTGAAAACTCGAAATATGGCATCCGGACCGTCTCATCTACCTGACCCTGTCAAAACAAAGAGTGTTGGTGTAGGGGAAGGGCGGATAAGGGATTTTTCAGTTTCATCCAGGACACCTGGACAGAATTTCCAGAAATCTGCACAGTTACAGTGGGACCATGAGCTGAACCATTACATCGAGAAGTTGCAGAGGCTCCTCAGCATGGAGCATGGGGACCTGCTCACAGAGGACTGTCCTGATCATAACAGTGGCCAAGGAGATCCCAGCTCCTTGGCACCTATGGCACAAGGAGGGACAGACATCCACATGTTCAGTTCTCATCCAGCAGGTAACACAGCAAACCAAAAACATTGATTCTTCATAAAACATTTGCAAAGCTGATACCAAATTTCCTGGTAATTTATTACTATACATTACATTACCTACACAAAGTAGGTAATGCAATTAACAGTTTTTTCAAATCTGCAATGTTATGTTTATACGTTTCTGTCTACTATTATCTTGCTTTCATGCAGCAAACAAAGACTCTCAGTCCCAGTCTCAACTTTCACTTGTCTCCTCTAAGTGTGACAAAGCAAATGCAGGCCTGTGTCAGCAGAGCAGTAATGATTCAGAGGTGAAAAGAATGATTAAAATGATAGAACAGCAGACGTCCTCTGGTTTACAAGGTAATATTTTTATTTATTTATGTTTAGTTATAAATCCAAATCCTTTTTTTCATGAGATATTTAGTAAATATCCAGTTAGTAGGAATTTTGTCTCAGTGAAAGAAATTTAAAAATCTTTTAGTATAAAAATATTTTATTTTGAAGCCACTCCCGGCGCCCAGTTTAAACTTGAACTAGGTTCAGGGGAAGTGGCCTTTTTGAGGGATGCATTTGCGATGTGTGGAATGATATCTGGTTTTGGAAGACGTTGTGTGCCACATAGCACTTTGTGGCTTAAGATCTAAAATTGAACTGCTTTGTGGGAGGAGCTGGTGCAAAAGAATGCTTTCTCTTTTCCACCGAGGCTTTTAGATGTGAACGAATGCATAAAGAATCGTGTGTTTTCATATACTCTGAACGTGACCTAGCTAGCCTTGTAACTGTTTTGCTATACATGCATTTAATGCAACATACTGTGTGATTTGTGTTAAGAATAAAAGTGCTTTGTGCTCATTTCTAGACAGGTCAGATAATGCTGGTAAGCCAAGGAATGTAATAAAGAAACAGAATGGTAACCAGTGCTGTAGTAGCAACAGGCAGAGTATGAAGTTTCTGGGTGTGACTACAGGGTAGGTGTCTAATGTCTAAACAAATGTTTTATTTCTGAAATGATGGATGTGGTATGTTCATAGATATTAAGCTCTTGTTTTATTGTCCTTAGGCTGGACCCAGTGTCGAATTATGAGCATGATGATGTAGACAGAAAGATAAAAAGAACATTTAGGGAATCTCCTCAAGATGTTGCCCAATCACGAAAGGAAAAAGACAACAAGGGATCAAAAGGAGCTGCGAGAGTGTATACACAGCAGAGGTAATCTGGGAGAAGTCTAAAAGGGTTCAAAGCCAATAAAACTGCAGCAATAAAAAGCTTCGCAACAGCTGTCTGCATTACTGTGGGAGTCCTTTCAAATCTGAACTGACATCTAGTAACCAATAGAATTTGGTTATTTTCAGGCGTAGGATGAGCGAACGGATGTTTTTTGCTTGTCAAGCCTTAAAGACGCACCTGAGTGATGACACAGCTTTATCCAACAGGGAAATGGTATGTTTTGTTTTACTATATTCAGTATGAGAGCCACTGAAAGTCACCACAGGCCTTGTTTGTCCGTACGTGTTTTGATTACCATGGGTGTGGAGAGATGCTGAGCCATGGTGGTTGAAAGTATGTCGTTTCTAAAGAAGTATCCTTGCCATTGATATGAAAAGAATTCCTCAGTAGAAGAATTTTTAGCTATATCATTTGCTTCAATTTGAGAATGTTTTTCTTTCTAAGTGAAATAGACTACTCACTTTCACAGTAAAATGCAAAATAGGTAAGAAGAAGTGGAATTCAAAGGAAGTATATCAGCAAGGTAACTCTTGACAGCTTCCATTGTGAAAGCTGAAACACTAAAAAGAATAACAAGAACTCTCGACATGCCTTTTTATGTTTGAAATAATGACAGATCCCTCTTCTTTTATGATGTCTTTTATAGAATTGTTGCTTTATGCTGTTTGTCTGTCTTCTTTCATTCACATCCCTGTAATTATGGGAAGATTGTGTCTATTCAGTCCTGATTGCTCTACTAAACTAATTTATGGCAAGAAGTATGTGTTTAAAAAAAGAAGTGCTGTTTTTGCATATATAATGCATCCTTTTTTCCTCTTGCAGCAGGACTGTCTGCACACACTCCAGCAAGAGTGGTTCTCTGTGTCCAGCCACAAGTCAGCATCTCCTGAAACTGTAGAGGACTACTTATCTACGTTTCAGGCCATTTCACCTTCAGTATTGCAGTACATAGTTAATATGGCTGACGGCAATGGAAACACAGCTCTACACTACAGTGTTTCTCACTCGAACTTTGGCATTGTGAAGAAATTGCTTAATCCAGGTACATCACCACACCACACCAAGTACATATTTTTTTCTCTGTCCCTCTATGTCACGAGAATTACGTTTATTTCTTTGCAGTCTGGACATGCTTAAAACAAGATTACAGACAAATTATGTTGCCAGGGCTTTTTTTAACTTCTACAAAATGCCGCAAGAGTTGTCCTTTTAATTTGAATCCCCCAGCAAATCAGAGAAACAAGCAAGTTCACAGTTTTTTAGGGCGGAAACGCCTTGTGTAATTCAGCTGTACCGCTCAGAAGCCCATGTATAATCTGGTTTTGTCATATCATATGAACATCTTGGTATTCTTTCTAATAGCCACTAGGTGGCGAAAATACCAGCAGCAAGTGAATTCTGTGTGTGGTAAGATACAAAGTGCTCCTGTCAAAAACTGGAAAATATTGATAAAAAAGAAGACCCTGGTTTCTTAAACCAGCATGGGCAATAGATTACATTTTTGACTGCTGGGTAGCTGATAAATGAGACGGGGTTTTTTTTGGAAAAGCTTGGAAAATACGATTTTTTTTTTAAATAAGAAATTATGTGCTGGAGATTGCCTTTTGAAAATCATAATGGCTTGTTTCAACCATTTTTCCAGCTGTGAATGAGTATAAAGGGATCGAAAGGCAGAAACACTATTCTGGACAGTCACTTAATTATTTAGTTTGTCAGGACAGTTTGATATTTGCACTGGGTGCCCGACTGAACAGCTTCTGTGTATGTATATCACTTAGAATATATATCTCTAAGCGCCAGCCTTTTTCTGTGAATCTATATTGCATAACAGTTTTGTCATTTTTAGTCACTCACCACAAAAGCTTATCTGGAACAGGTCTTCCTTACAAAATAAAACTTGGCATTTGTGTGATTAAAACAAGTGTGAATTGTTATCAGTACAAAATAATATACATTTGTCTTCGTCTTGCTTGTTTCTTCCACTGCCATCCATTTGACCGCCAATCACTACAGAGGTGTGCAACGTGAATCAGCAGAATTCAGCAGGTTACACGCCCATCATGCTTGCTGCACTTGCTGCTGTGGATAATCCAGACAACATGAAAGTAGTCGAGCAGCTCTTCACTAAAGGAGATGTCAACGCCAAGGCCAGCCAGGTCAGTATGTTCTCAGGTTGTGGGTGAGGAGTGGTTAGCTGGCTCTCACATTACACTATAGTTTAAGTTTTTTACAAACTAGTTTTACAATTTTTAAAAAATTGCTGCAGCTCTCATGGCTTTCATTCAATGTGGGTATTGTCAAAATGATTTAATGCATCACTCAATCTACTCTCCTATGTGATGATAAAACATAGGAGGAACTGTGTGCAACTATTTTATTTTAAAGCAACTTTCCTTATGAGATGTCTCTGATTTTACTCTTAATAATTTTTGGAGTTTATTTTATGTAGACAGATAAATGTAACTGCTTGCATAAATATAAATACAATGAAAACAGTCTTTCCTTTGTCTTTAGCTGCTTAAAAAAAATCCTGCAGATATCACAGCACTGCCAAACAAACGCCTGATTATGTGCGTCAGAATTCCTCACAAAGTTGAGATCTGCAACTTGTCATTTTTACTGGATATGCACCTCTGAGGAAATACTACATCCGAGGCTTGTTGGCTTAGCAACCGATGGCGCAGCTGCTGTGATATGCTGATACAGAGGAGCGGCCACACTCCTACGCGAAAAGATCAGTCCTAAGCCGACTTCCATTCACTGCATGAATCACAAGCTAGAATCTGCAATGCACGTTTAACCTTTTATGTTTGATTACATTTCCTGTGTCCGAAAGAAGAGAGAACAAACCACGAGACTGAGAATATTTTGCAAATAATTAAATTTAATGTAAACTTTCAAAAAGATGAAAATATTCATCCAGTGGCTACATTTGTGTTGTGTAGTTGAAATTCAGTGAATCAATATAAGAAAGAATAAATAACTGAACTAGCTTTACAGTCCCGCTCATTTTTTTTCCTTTCCCCAGTCGTCTACTGACTGTATCTTTATATTTGGAGATGTGTGACTCAGTATTACTTGCCCTGTTTCTTCCTGTGTTTGACTCCTGCCTTCTGCTGCCCAGGCCGGTCAGACGGCTCTGATGCTCGCTGTGAGCCATGGCAGGATGGACATGGTGCAGGCACTCCTGGCACAAGGGGCGGAGGTCAATCTCCAGGATGATGAGGGCTCCACGGCGCTGATGTGTGCAAGCGAGCATGGCCACGCTGACATTGTTAAACTACTGCTGGCACAGCCGGAGTGCGATGCCACCCTGACTGACAGTGTATGTGAGTCATTGCCTCTACTTTGCAGCTTCTGTGAGCCCGGTGGCCTCAAGCTGTGAAGCAGAAGCGCTCTTACTTTGTTTTAGATATTATATTACAAAAGCAGAGAGTAACCATTTGTTACAGAAGACACATTCAGTGTGTCAGGAGAAAACAAAAGGGATAGAAATGGTATGTAATTAATTATACCGAGGCTCTTTTATTTTCTGTCTGTTATTGTGCGATAAACAACAGAAGCTCTTGTGGTGTATTTTGTGCGTAAACAGGATGAAAGCACAGCCATGTCCATCGCATTAGAGGCAGGACACAATGACATTGCAGTGCTTCTTTATGCTCATGCCAACTTCTCCAAAGGACACGCAGGGGTATGTGCGTCAATTTTTACATTAACACACAATATAAATGTGTTTGTGCATCTTTTTTTACATTGTATGCATTTTGGTGTGTGGTGTTTCTTATCAGGCAACTGGTCGTCACAGTGGCAGGTCTCTTTCTTCTTCCAGTGATAGACACGTCTTTGAATGATGGGATCCCCCAAACTCTGATTTGATGCTACAGGAAACTTATTTTCAGATGATTCGATATCAAAGCCCACATTGTGTATAACTTTGTCAGTTTCAATCTTATCAAGAGAATTCAGTTGAATATTTATCTGTCATAATTGAGCAGTTGACAATGCTTTTCATTATCTAGTAGCACGGTATGCATACATGTGTATAAGATAACACTGGTAATTTCATATTTCATACAACTGAATGTGTATTACAGTAAATTTAATATAGTACATGTGTGTATATTTAAGGAGAGCGTGCAAAATTATCCAAAGTCCCCAAGTTAAGATGCACTTCAGATGGGATGCTGTGTTAAATGAAAATAAAAGTAGATTGCAATGATTTGCAAATCATTTCAACCCATGTTTTTATTGAAGGTGGAACATAGAACACATGTCAAACCTTTTATTCTTATTTTTAAATCAGGTTATTTTGAATTTGATGGGCAGAACATATCTAAAAACTTTGGCACAGGCCATGTTTAACACTGCGGGGCATCCCCTCGTCTTTTAGCAACACTCTGTAACATCTCTTTGTAACATCTGGGAACTGAGGAGACCGTTGCTGGACCCTTTGGTAGAGGAGAATTGTCTCATTCCTATCTGATAGGCGATTGTAACTGCTCAACAGTTGTGTGTTGTCTTTGTTGTACTTTTTGTTTCAGCATCCAAACTCTTCTATGAAGCCATGCTGCTGCTATAGATGGAGTAGCATGGTCTCAGCATATGAAGTATGCTAAGATAGCAAAGACATTGCATATTTTCCTCTAAAACCTGTACATACCTTTCAGCACTGATGGTGCCTTTTCAGAAGTGCCAGCTGCTGTTTCATAGATACTAATGTCAAAATACCATCAGAGATTCAGGCTTTTGAGCTGCGTGCTGATAACAAACCAGACGATCCTTCTGATCTTTAGTCTGGAGGATGCAGCATTTATGTTTTCCAAAAAATCTGACCACAGAACAGCTTTCTACTTTGCCTCAGTTCTCTTAGAATGAGCTTTGACCAGAGAAGACAGCTGCAATTCTGGATTATGTTCACATAGGGGTTCTTTTTTTTTGCATGATAGAGCTTTAACCTGCGTTTGTGGATGGGACGGTGAATTGTGTTCACACACAGTGATTTCTGGAAGTGTTCCTGAGCCCATTCAGTGATTTCCATAACAGATCCAAACAAATCCAAATAGTGGCTGTTTTCAGTGCCCGAGGGCCTGAAAATCACAGGCATCCACTATTGGATTTTCAGACTTGTTCCTTTCTGCACAGAGATTTCTACAGATTGCAGGAATCCTTTTACATTATGTACTGTAGATGATGAGTAAGTCTTCACAGTGATAAATATCATTATGAAATTGTTCCATAATTTGTATCTTGTAGATACTGCCCATCTTCACTTCTGAGAAACTCTGCGTCTCTAAGCTGCACTTTTTTTACCCAATTGTGTTACTGACAAATTCTCAGTTAACCTTTTGTTCTTCCAGCGGTTTCTTTTTAGTATCTCTACATTTCTGACCTCTTGTTGCCCATTCCTAACTTCTTTGAGTTATGTTGCTCCATTAAATTAAAATTTAAATAGTACATTTTATTTAAACATTTGGTTTATTTTTTTATGTACTATTGTGAAAAGTTATTGGTTTAAGAGATTTGCAAATCATAGCTTTTTTATTTATTTGTTTATTTTTTATATGGCATCCCAGCAGTTTTGGAATTGGGTTTTACTTAGTGCTAAGGTGAAATTTTGTACTATTTTTATATCTCATATTATTTGTAAAGTCACAGGGCTCAAATGCGCTGGGATAAAAGTAACAAAAATTACAAAGTGCAAAATCTTGACCCAGCCCTTCGTACTTAAAGGATCTGTACCTCAGAAAATATCCATGATGCCATAGTAAAGTTTTGCATGGCTTCATTAAATATACTAAAGTTATTGACACCATACTGTGTACATTACTATAACTTACAGGAATATAGATGCATGGCAACATAGTTTACTATTTTAAATTCATAAGGATTATAGATTATGTTGAAATGCACGATTACTTGCTGTTTACTGTAAATGTCAAAATACTCTTTTTGTTCATGATTCTAAAAAAAATTAAACCCAAGTGGCCTTTTTATTTATATGTTTTGTAATCTTTAAAAACTGTTTATTTTTTTTGTCAAAGCTTTTACTTTATGCTATGTAAACAGGGTAAGAAGATGCAGCATAAACTACTACGTATCTGTAGCACATCTTTTTCTACCAATCATGGACAAAATGTACAAATAAATATCGGCAATGTAATAAATAAATAAATACAGTCTGACAGATGACAAGATTAGTCTCATGTTTGTTTAATAGTAAGGAATTTTAAGGTAGCACGTTATTGTCTTATATGTGTTACACATTTGCTGGAGGAAAGGAAAAATGGAGCCTCTGATAATGTTTTTAGTCACACACAAAAGAAGGGTCACGTGAGCTCTGTCATTGTGTAAGAGATTTTTCAACCAGCTGGTGGATTCAAACCCAGTACCTTCTTTGCTGTGAGACAGCAGTGCTTACCACTGTTCCACCTGAAGTATCTCAACCGTTTAAAAAATAATATCAGCTGAGCCTTCAGCCAGGCACGAACACTTCTTTCCTTTTTTGGTTTGGCAGGCACTAATTTTTCTTCATCCTGACACTCAGCTCTCTTTTCTCCTCTTACACAGAAACTACCCACCATTCTCACCTCGTTTCTACCACCTCACCAGGTATTGCCCCCAGTGTTCATCCTGTCCCTTCTCAGTTGACTATGATGTCTATCAGTAAAGTACCATTGCCTTTTTTCCCCTATAAGCAAGATTATGTAGACCTTTTTCAAAAAATGACTATTAATGACTGAATTATTAGGTGAGTTTGTGACCTTAGACTGCAAAACCTGGCCTTGATAACTCATCAGAGTAGTCTTGCCTCTCTTGGCATTTGTACTACTGGAAATTAAAAGCGAATTTCAGCTTTGAATGAGCTGTAAATCATTTATCAACCATTCAGAATAACCTGTGCCCTACAGTTCTCACCATTTTAATTAATATTCCCCACGAGCTTCATTGGTGTGAGAAGAGAGAGCGTGTAGTGATAATTCAATTCTGCAGCAGTCCTGCAGCTCAGAGATTATCATTGTTTTATTTTACGCTACAGCACTATTGGTGAGTGAACATGTGACAAGTTATAAAATAAAAGAAAGGACAGATTAAGGGGTATCTCATTTTTTTTCAACCTTTTTTTTAACCATTTACGAAGTACGATGTTTTCATCAGTGAAACATGCGATCTCACAGTCAGTTTGTTGTATTTCCTTTTCCTTTTGTTTTCTTCATCTACTCATGTGATTTATATTTTGCCCATTTCCAGAGCTTTTTTTTTTAAAGCAGTGCTTGGGTGCACAAGACAGAAAGCTTCCATGAAAAGACAGATTATAAAATTATGTTGTTCGGCTTCCCGCTGCACTCGTTTCCCCAGTGTACCACTTTGTCTCCAATTCCTGAGAGCTTGTGTGACTGAGAGCACTCTGAATCATTTCCCAGCAACAGCAATAAAACACAATGATATACAAGGTCCACCATCAAAATTTGCTGTTGCCATGGTAACAGTCAGCAGTTTTCAGCAAGTGATTCTTGGGAACATTAGTCTGGAAAGATATCTCTATTTCACCGAGGTTAGCTAATCCGTTCATTTAATTTCCCCGTTTGTTTAAGCCGAAATGTCACCGCTACCATGTTATTTAGTAGAATAGATGCTGATGTAAGCAATCTTGAAAGCAAAACAAAACTGTTTTGTAAAACCCTAATGAATGTCATATGAAGCTGGCATGCAAGGACATTCAGCAGTCACAGTTTCGTGCCAGTGGAGCCCTTTGTACACTGACACATGCCATCAAAAGATATGGATGTTCCTGTCAGAAGGGTACATGTGTCTTCAGTACAATATGTTGCATGTGACATGTATGGACTTCTACATTAGATGGTTCGTGATTTATTATTTCATGGTGCAGACCATCCTTGTGTATATGGTTGGGTTCCTGGGTTATTACTGTGCAGCTCAATATGTCATAATAAGGCTCACATTTAAATCAGGTTACATATTGGGTGATAAAAATACTGTAAGAGTTAGTAATTATTAGTTTTGTGCCATATCATAAAACTGAGACTTAAAAGGTTTTGAAAAACAGTCGCTGCAACAATGTCTGTGAAACATTCTTGATGTTTTGGGCCATTTGTCAATTTGGGACCAAGATCCAACAAACCACAAACACTAAATTAACTAATAAATGCATTTGTTGGATTTGGAAAAGACAGTGCAGAAACTTTGATTTACTGTGGACAAGTCAAATCGAATAAGTTAAATCAAATGTGGCACCATGTACTGGGTTTTATGCTGACCGCACATTCAGAGCCATTGGTCATGTGCTTCTCTTACTGGTTTATTGAAGTGGGTGGGAGTTGTTTGGCAAAGGTGATGTCACATATTTCCCTGAATCAGTTTGATATAAAACAGCTATAATCAACATTTTCACGATAAACCGATCAAACTCAGATATATGTATATATATTTTATGTGTGTGTGTGCGTGCGTGTGTGCGTGTGTGTGTTCTTCCATTGTTGAATGATTGTGTCCATTGTGGTCTTCTGCTGCTGCTGGCCATTTACTTCTAGGATCAATGTGATGTGCTTTCAGAGATGCTCTTCTGCCATCTTTCTTATAAGCAGTGATTATTCGAGTTGTTATTGCTTTCCTGTCAGTTCAAATCAGTCTGGCTTTTCTCCTCTGAACTCTGGCATCAACAAAACACTTTCACCCCAGAACTATTTCCCCCTCTCTCTCTCTTTTCGTTTTTTTTCCTTTTTTTGGACCATTTGCTAATCCCTAGAGATTGTTGTGTGGGAAAATCCCAGTAAATCAGCAGTTTCTGAAATACTCCTACCAGCCCATCAGACACCAACAACCATACCACATTCAAAGACACTTAAATCACACTTTCTCATTCTGATGCTCAGTTTGAACCTCAGCAGATCGCCTTGGGCATGCTTACGTGCCCAAATGCACTGAGTTGCTGTCATATGATTGGCTCGCCAGATATTCGTGTTAGGGCGCATAAGAGTAGGCGTACCTAATAAAGTGGACGAATATAGGAGTGTATACCGTAGTAGGGTAGCATGGCATGACAAATGGTCTGTAACTCGTGCATTATGATTTTCTCTCACTGAATTCCATTCAGCTGAGATCCTCCACTTCACAAGTATTTCCACTGGACAAAACGATGTTGCTTTTTGTTTTTTGCATATGTTTTTCTGTGCTGTTACATGTGCTGTTATCCAGCAGCAGCCTTTTTGGTTTGTTTTTTTGTGCACATGTTAGGAAGAAAACTCTAATTGCTTTACAGAAACCACATGGCTTTGAATACTTGCCTAAAGTAGAAAAACTCCCTTTTTTGTTTTTTTTTCTGCAATTGCTGCAGCTCAGCGACTCGGACTTTGCAGAGAACTTTTTTTCTTCTTTCCTTGCTGTCTCGGCTGAGGAATTAAGTGTAATCTGAGTCAATATTTATGCATTAATCACCCTGCTGGAATTCCGAGGCGGCTGCACATTCAAACGTGCTCTCGAGTGAACTCATGAATGTCCGTGCTGCTTTCAGGCTTGGACTCCTGGTTCCAGCAGGAGTTTCTTGCTTGCCTTAGTTGATAACGAACAGCACGATCCCTCCAAAATACAGTGCAGATTTTTTTTAAAAGAAATAATAACAATAAAAGGACCCGACAACTTTAACAGAGGGGTAGGAAGAGAGAGAGAGAGAGAGGGAGAGAGAGAGAGAGAGAGAGGAAAGAAAAAAATAATAACGTCTGGCAACAGTCGATATTAAAAACATGCAGAGGGAGACAAGCTCGGGGCCTTCCAGAGTCAGGAAAAAGACTTCGGAGAGCTGCAGACGGGAGATGGGTATGGCATTTGTATTTTCCCCCTGCCCAATGATTTGTATATGAAAACATAGCGCTTTTATTCTCCCCCCTTCTGGGCTCTGCTTCTGAGTGATCAGCTGATGAAGAGACTAGCAGCTCGCCGCTATGCTGGCTTGCTAATTCTCTCCCCCACAGCTGCAGCCGATCCCGATAACCAGCCTGCAGATTGCAGTCAGGTAAATATCCTCCTCCATGTCTTTTCTTCACAGGCTCAGGATTCAGCCAGGGTACATCGCATGGGAAGAGAGGAAGAGATGGATAAAATGTGTGTGTATGTGTGTGTGTGTGTGTGCGCGCGCGCACGCCAAGGAAAGAGAGAGAGTGTATGCGTGTGTGCGCGCGCGTGTGAGTAAGAGGCAGGGAGAGCGAGTGTGTAGGTGTGTGTTGTAACAGATGAGAGGGAATCTTTGCCAGATTAGTCAGGGAAGAGGCAGGCTTGTTAGGAGATAGCACAGGCATGGAGCATCACATGCACACTCTGACACCCTTCCACTCCACATGCACAGTCAATCAGGCAGCTCTCAGCTGTGTTATACATCTTTGAGGATTACCCTCTATCCCTCCAGTATTCCGCTGGAACGATTGCTTCCCCTTAGAGGGAGTAGCGGGGCTTTTCAAAGCCTACATTTGAGCCCCGAACAATGATGAGCAGGATTTCTATTGTTGTCTCTAGTGCTGTTGTCTCCTCTAAGTCAGCTTTCTGCTATGTCTTTTTTATGGTTGGAAGTGCAGGCATGTATCTTCAGTCCTGTTTTTTTTTTATTGTTTGTTTGTTTTTTAAGGGGGGGGGGGGGGGTTATTGTTATTGTTTTTCCATTTTTTCTAATTCTGCATGGCACCGTTCACTGCTCCTCGGATCAGTGTGTGTTAAATATCTCAAGTTTGCGTCCTTGAGAGATCAGCAGGCGTGCTGTATTATATGATGTGAAGGCTGATGTGTGTACTGTATGATCCTGTATTATTGATGCATCAATATTCTGTTCAGATTGGACAGCATGCC